AGGCCTGGATAAGGAGCCTAAATTTCATTCTCAGGATGATGAGAAAATACCAAAGATCTTCCGCCTAAGAATCACGCAATTCTATATGCTATTGGGGAACTGGACCATGAGGAGGAGGAAGACCAGTCAGGTGGCCAGTGAAGTTTATAAGACAAGTGATGGCAATATGTTAGATCATGGCCTTAGGTGGACATAAATTTTACAATCCTTAGGTACTGCAGTGCAGGCCATGATCAAATGAGGGTCCCCCAATGCTGGAAGTGCAAGAAGTTACAGCTAGGGAAACAGGTACTGGAGCTGGTGGGTTTGGCTCTCTGCCTTGCAGAAATTACTTTATATGGCAACATAATGGTTTCCAGGTGCTTAGGTTGCTAGGTTTAGTGGCCTTTCAGATACCACAATTCCACTTGGGGCTGCAGAGATACTAAATTTCAGTTGGGATTCTAAAATAAACACAGGTTAATATTTACTCACCCTCTTTTCAAAAGTTTACCTACTAGGAATTATTTTTTACTTCACTAAGTAAAAATATGGCCATGTATAAAGATTTGGACACAACTGCAATTACTAGCCTTAGCACCCGAAAAGCAAAAGCAACCAGTAAACTTCTCAGAAAACTTAACAACTGCATAGAAAAAAGAAATAAATAAAAGCTGGTGTTGTGGCACAGCAAATTCAGCTGCTGCTTGAGACACTGGAACCCCACACTGGATTCCCAGATGCTCCATTTACAGCCCAATTTCCTGCTAATACTCCTGGGAAGGCAGCAGCTTTTTGCCCTGCCGCCTATGTGGAAGCCCAGGATGAAGTTTCTAGCTACCGGATTTGGCCAGGCGAGACCACTGGGGAATGAACACGCAAACAGAACATCTCCCCCTCTCTCTCCATCTTTAAAAAAAATCTTAAAAAAGAAAAAAAAAAAGACCTACTTTTGTAGGTCCCAATCTCTCCTTTGGGACTCTGTCTGTTTGGCACAATCCTGCACCAACTTTCCAGTGGTGAGCTCAGCTCCATACAGAAAGCTGACTCTCAAAACCATTGTTACGAAAGGCCTGACCCAATATATAACATGCAATCAATCAGGAAAGAAAAAATGGTGATAGGGAAATCTCTAAGAATCATCTTACTAAGGTCAGCTTCAAAAAGCAACTATTTCAGCTCTGTTAATTTTTAACTTGTGATCATTCATATTAAAGCTATGTTACTTGTAAAGAGTTATTACATTTCATAGAAACAATCAACAGTTATTAAGCACTTACTGTACATACGACCATGTGCTTTTCAGTCCATTTCTTCTTTAATCTTTCTCAATGAGGAAAGTTGAAGTTTAACAACGTAAACTAGGGCTGGCAATCAGCACAGCAAGCTAAGCCTATGCCTGCAGCACCAGCTCTTGGTTTGTGGTTTGGAAAAATATCAGAGGATGGTTCAAGTGCCTGGGTCCCTGTACCCACAATGGAGACCTGGAAGAAGTTTCTGGCTCCTGGCTTTCAACTGGAAGATCTTCAGCTGTTGCAGCAATTTGGGGAGCGAACCTGCAGATGGAAAATCTCTCTCTTCTTTCTGTAACTGCCTTTAAAATAAAAATAAATCTTAAAAATATATATATAAACTAACTTATCTAGTGTCACCCTGCTATTACATAAAGTTGGTCTTGTAGACAAAATTTATTGTGCCAAATCCCTATGATCTTAATTACTACTTAGTACCTCACCGACATCTTAAATTGTAAAAAGAAATAACACTGGTATCTGATCGCCTTTTAGAAGAGAACTCACAATAAAATGAATTTACTTGTTCTTTTAAAGATTTATTTATTTTCATTTGAAACACAGATTTATAGAAAGAAGAAGAGACAGAGAAAGATCTTCCATACTTTGGTTTACTCACCAAATGGCCTCAGAGACTGGAGCTGAGCAGACCTGAAATCAAGAGCCAGAAGCTTCTTCTGGTCTTGCAAGTGGAAGCAAGTGCCCAAGGGCTTGAGCCCTCCTCTGCAGTTCCCTAACCTATTCGCATGGAGAGTGACTGGAAATGAAGCAGCTGGGACTCGAACTGGAGCCCGAATGAGCTGCCAAAATGACAGGTGAGCCAATGAGCCTGTCACGCGTTGATTCTAATTATCATATACATTTCAGCACCACATATTATGACAACTCATGTACTAATTTCAAGTGCCTTCCACTACTAATTTCACCACTAATGTTCTCTAGTTACTTTCTATATTTGAATACAACATAAAATTAAAGTGGTAATTCATATCATAACTACATCAAATTATCCTCATGCCAGATTTCTAAGAGTTTACCATAGTTCAACAAAAAGCAAATAATCATACAACTTACTAATTTAACCTTTTATTAGCAGTGAAATTCACATATGCTCTCCCACTAACTTTGAATAAAAGTTACTCTGGCTGCTACTGTTTTCACAGACCACGTAGATTTCAATATATGCTTTCTGTTTAAACTGTAAAATATAAGATACAATTCAGTAAGAACACAGTATATTGTAGAAGATGACTATTTCAACAGGAATACTATAAAGCAGTTTCACGTGTCCTTCCGATTCAGTCTCTCTTGCTTTGCCCTAAACTAATGTCTAAAAGTCTTCAGAAATTTTACTGCTGCTGATTTACATTCCTCCAAAATAAAATGAGTACATATTACCATACTAACACATCAATAACTTGAAAACAGAAAGCAAAATATCCAGGAGACTCAAGAGTTAAATTCCTAATAGGCTTAACTGCAAAAGGATCTTTATTTCATGACCATATGAAACTGGGCCAGGGACAGATTATGTAGTAAATAATATCCAGGAAAATATTCATCTATAATCTCTTCTTTTTACATATATAAGATTGAATGTGACTACACACTGTTATATGATCTCATTCTGAAAGAAAGCATTACAAATTTACACAAGAAAGTTGTAGCTTTGCCAACGTGAAAAAAATCTCTTAATTTTATGCTACTAAATCTCAAACATAACACTGCATTAATTTTCTATACAAATTCAAGTAACTTACATAAATATTTGTTTTTGCAATCTGGGCATGGCACCACCAGCCCAGTCCAATAAGCCCATCTCCTCTGATATCCTGTCTTTGACAGTGACCAATGGTGGATGCCTCACAGGATAAGATAAACACACAACAGAATGTATATAATTATGTACCCTACACCATTATCTCAGATGGTGCTTGCATATCCAGAAAGAAATGAAAACAAATCCCAACCCCTTCCCTCCACTACTCTATAATTTTCCATAGGTGATAGGAAACCTCCAATTAAGCACAAATTGAACCATTATATAAGCCAGTGCTTTGGTAACATGAAAATGGACTAAACATTTTTTTAAAATAAAAAGCTGTGCCCAGAAATAGGAGCTAAGTTCCTCAAAACTTACAACTCATTAAAGTGTATTTCAAATAACTTTAAAGTATTTGATTCAATTCTGAAAAACTACATACATAAGTAAAATTAAACTGAAGCTTTAAAAAAAGAAAGAAAAAAACTACAATTTCTCCTCAGGCCATGCCATTTTGTGAAACGTAATGCTGTTTTCTGGAGAGTGGAAAAATGTTTATATTTTTAATCTTTAGAAAAATGACATTCACACTTGTGACAAAACTGTTTTAAGTTAAGGCCTGGATTTCTTAAATACTCATCTCAGTGTACAAAACCACAGGATGCTGCAATCCTGGTAAGGTTTTTCGGGAAGCACTATTTCCTAAATAATCACAGACCAAAAAATACATATTGTATTTTTGTAAAGACCTTTGGAGCAGAGGAGTCTCTGAGTAGTGAATGTGGGCATTGAGTGAACAATGCTGGCTGTCAGGAAACAGGACCTGGCCTGAATCCCCCATGGTATACTTTGGATCCATTTTCTCTTTTCCTGATGTCAAGTAAATCAGAGACAATCAAATCATATCATAATATCTCATGTATTAAAACTTTATTAATGTCTCCTGTTACTGTTGTCCATATAATAGACAACCAAATATTCCTATATTGAGTTGTTTCATGATTTTTATATGTGTCAGAGCCCAACAGATGTCATGATTCCATATCCATTATCTCTACCCTAGAAGTGATCTTCTTCCCAATTATAATACATTCTTTTCTCAAAGATGGTAACTCTATTTTACTTTTAAAAATTCAGTTATAAATTTGACAAGTGATAGAGACAAGAAATAATGCCTATAAAATCCCAACCAGATACTGCTTCCTTCCTTAGAATAAGGAGTCATTTAATCGGATGTATCTCTCAAAACCTCTGGGAGAGAGCCGAAGCTGCAACACAGCATCATCAAATCTGCAGCTGTGTTGCTGTTCTTACTAGTTCACGCTGCTTCCTTAGACCACAGGAAGCCAAAACACACCTTCGGACCCATCTCACCCACCGTCTCAGGAACTGGCCAGAGCAGCGGAGCACATAATGACAGACCAGACATCAAAACAGTTATTGCAAAGCTTGACACACCCTTAGGAACTCTCTACTCAAGCAATTATTCAACCCAGAAAACTTATTCCTGAATATCAAATCCTTATATTTTTCCAGGAATATAAACTACAGGATACATTAATGGTACTACTAAGCTCTAGGTAAGGCTGTTAAAACAAAATAACACAGACTGTTGGCCTAAACAACAAACATACTTTTCACAATTCTGAAGATTAGAAGTCCAAGACGAATGTGCTGACCTATTCAGTGTCCGCTGAGGGCCTCCTTCCCTACTGGTGCATGTCTACCCTGCTGCATGCTCTCCTGACAGGCAGAGGTCACCTTTCTCATGTCATACAAGGCATCAATGCCATTCATGAAGACCCCACTAACATTAAGCATCTCCCAAAAGCTCCACTTCCAAATGCTGTAACATGGGGGATAGTACTGCACTGCTTGAGTAGGGGCTGTGACTTGAGGGACAAAGGAATAAACATAAATTTTCATCTATAACAGCAAGCAAAATTGAATAAGTAATAGTAACTTACTTTTATTGCCTACCAAAGCAACCAGTGGTTGAGTTTCTGACTCTTCATTCACTTTCTTCACCACAGCATACCAATCTTCTAAATTCTCAAAACTTTGATAATTTGTAATATCGTACACCAGCAAGATTCCCTATCACAAGAGAATTACAAAATATGTGTTAATACATTACTTAAAAACTAGCAATTAGTAGTTTTGGCTAATGTCTCAAACATGTCGAGAGTACATATAGGGAGTATATTTTATACACTAACTGACTTCAATTTAAATTAGTTAGCAGACATAGATACTGAATGTTTGTCTGAGATAAATCAGGCAATTAAGTTGCAATCCAAGTTAAGGTTTAATTACATCAAAATTATAAGTGGCTTCACAATAAACTATCTGATATATGCTTACCAAGTCTGGTAAATACAAGAACATCAAGCCACAGAAGTATACAAAGCTGAAAGCTCCAAGTCCCCTCACCTTCATGAACATTTCTATAAATAAATACTTGCTGCCCCTCTTTTCTAGTATTTTCAGAAATGAAGATTCCATGACATCCCTTGATAGTCAATTTCAGTGTTTAACGTAATTTTCTTTAAATGAAATGTGAATTTCCTCTTTTAGTCCTCTGTGCATTTGGATACAACTTAGAGTATTCTTATACTAGCCCTTCATACACTTGAAGATAGTTAAGGAACTCCTTTACCATCCCATTTCCAGAGTAAATAAACTCAGTTCCTTAAACCTGCCTCAAAGGGCCTATTTTCTATCCCTTTAATCACAGTTGCTGATTCTTCCCAGGACACCCTACATACAGTTTCCTGACATCATTTTTAAAATGAGCAATGTAAAATTGGGCACAGTACTGTAATAAGAGTCCAAGAAAAGCCAAATATAACAGAAAGACTGCTTCCTGCCTCTTATGTATCATATTCCTTTTAATTTATCCCATTATTTCGTGTGTAAAGAAAGAGACATATATATACACACAAAAATAACAGCCTCGCATTCTTGATTCTCATCCAGTTTGTGGTCAAATACTTAATACAAAACTCTGCATACATAGTAAGTCTGGATCTTAATGGTATTTGTGCCAGCTTGATAGAGTAATAAAATCTAACATTTTTTGCACCTACTATTTGATACTTTCTACTCATTACTCCTCTCAATAAACAAGAAATCAATAGTGTTATTCTCATTTACTAATAAATAGAGGTTAAAGTAACCAAGGTAACACTGTTAGGTCAAGTGATGGAGCCAAGATAAGTATCAAGGCACAGATGACTAAATTCATTTGTCTGCCAACCACAAACAACAGATGTGCAGCATGCTAGGGATGTTGGGCTCTAACGCTCAAGGTACCCACTGAAGCAAAACCAAAGCCCTAGGACAAGAGTATACCACACAAAAGTCAAGCTCAGTGACACACTGACAAACACTCATCAACTGGCGTGGGATTCCAAGCACAACAGGAATATGGTTGGAAGTATTATTAATAATGTTTGCCAATTTCCACAGTGTAAATACTCCACTATCGTCATTTTGAGATATGTGACAATACCAAGCACAGACTTGGCTAAAATGCCCTTACATAGCATTTCAGAAGGTATACAAGACATAAACAACCTCAAGAGTACAGACAACAAAAACATACAATAAAATATCCACAGATGCATTATGAGCCCACATGTTTGCTTCATAAGCAATTTATAAGTCTATATATAGTTTTAATCATGAATATACTCAATAACCAGCTCACACAAATTATTAAATATTTAACATTTACTTAGTGAAGCTAGAACAAGCAGATCCAGCACACTAATGATTTTCTAGTACTATTAAACCACAGTGGCTCCAAGTCACTGGGCTTCTCTGGGTCTCAAGTTCTCTGTCAATAAAGTTAAATCTTTGGGTAGGTGTCTAAAATTCTTTTCAATTTTAGGGCCACAGCACCCAACCAGTACATGTGAGACCAATGAGGGATGGGGCAAAGCTGGCAGGGGGGCTGTGAGGGGCTCCCCTGCTAGACAACCACTTCCATTGGAGCGCGAGAGTTAGGATGGGAGTAGACCAGGCTAGGCAGGGCTACAATACCTGCTGGCCTCACATGGGCTGGATCAGGGGAAAGTCAGGCTGGGTTGACTGTTTCTACTGCTGCATGCATTAGCCAGACAGGTGTGGGTTGATTGGGCTTTGTTGCAGCATCAGCTGACAGATGCTGGCACAGGTGGCAAATTCTGTCAAGTTCACCTACAGAACCACCTGAAGTGTGCGAGATCCAGCAGGGAAATAGTGGGTACCTCCCTCTTGGGTTGCCACACTCAATGGTGAGCACGAGAACCAGGACTGGGGCAGGCATGGCTAGACAGAGTGGCGCCCACCGGCACATGTGTGGGCTGGATAGTGGGGCTGGTTGGGTTGAATTAGGTTTCAATGTGCATTGAGATGTATGAGAGCTGAATGGGATGTGGGACAGACTGGACAAGTCTGCTGCCTGCTGTAGAAATGGGAACCAGGGCAGGGGACAGGCCTTGTCGGGGTTTTTGTGGGTCACTCAGACTAGGCTGCAGCTCCCATTAGTGTATGTGAAGGCCAAGTGTGTGATGGGCAGGATCACACTGGACTGCAACACCCATCAGTTTGTGTAAAAGACAGGGCTTGAGGCAGAACTGACTCAGCAATTGCAACGAGCATGTGCGTACGTTGAATGGGGCTACAAACTGTGTCGGACCCTGTATTGGCAAGCACACACAAGAATCAGGTCTGGGATCACTTCAGATGAAGTTTTTTTGGAGATCACCCCCAACTGCATCACTGGACTCAGAACCCAACCATGGAAAGAATTGCAGGTTCTAAGGTCTGATTGTGGAGTGCATGTGTCAGAGCTGGACTCCCTCAGTGGCTTAGATGGAGCAGGGAAGAGCATATCCAGGTGCACATGGAGGATACTGCAGGACATTGGAGTCTGTAGGACACCTGATACCGCAACAGAGGATGGAGGACAGAACAAGTTGATCAACTACCCCAGTCACCTGTTGGCAGTGAATAACTGGCCAAACAGAGACTCTAAGTTGGACTATGTCAACCAGTGGATTATGGAGAGATTTCACTGTGCTTGGAGTGGCAAGATCAGCAGCAATTCAGAACTGTGGAACTATCAAAACCTCTTGAGCAGGACTCTCAGAGCATGCCCCACATCAGGGACCCTGGGGTGGTGTTGGGTAGCTGAACCAAGGGCACAGAGGTGTTTGGGAGGCTGGTGTGGCTTCTCTCCTCGTCTCCCCCTTCTCCCAAACACCGGAAGGGAAAAAAAAAGAGAGAGAGAATGTGAAAATGGTGATCTCACCCACCTTCCTATAGCTCTTGACTCTTATCACCTAATCCACTATGTAAAAACCATCAAAAAATTTTTTAAAATATCATGTAATTTGTATGCAAAACTGCTTGTCTGATTCACTTCAGTAAATTAGACATCTGCAGGCTACTTGAAGAAGAGCATAGGAAGGAGTTTAAGGCAATGCACATTTTCCATAAACTTAAAGTACACCCATGTCTCCATCTTCCAAGATGTTTTAAGTGACACCCAACATCAAATTATCAGAAATAATGACCATACTTTACTTTTCTCATTAAGAATAAATCTGCAGCATCTGGCACTAGGGCACACTAGGTTAAACTGGTGCCTCCAGTGCTGGCATCCCCTATCAGTGCTGGCATCTTATATGGCTTCCACTGCAACTGCCAGCTGCTCCACTTCCAATCCAGCTCCCGGCTTAAGTGTCTAGGAAAGAAGCAGAAGATAGTCCCATTCCTTAGAACCCCTGCCACCCACATCTGAGAACTGCAAAAACCTCGGACTCCTGGTTTGGGCCAGGCCCAGAGCTAGCCCTAGCAGCCATTTGAGGAGGGAATCAGAGAACAGAAGATCTCTCTCTCTCTCTCTCTCTTTCTCTTCTCTCTTCCTTCCAAATTAAAATAAGAATCGTGGGCCCGGCGCGGTGGCGCAAGTGGTTAAAGATCCTCGCCTTGCACGCCCAGGATCCCATATGGGCGCCGGTTCTAATCCCGGCAGCCCCGCTTCCCTTCCAGCTCCCTGCCTGTGGCCTGGGAAAGCAGTCGAGGACGGCCCAAAGCTTTGGGAACCTGCACCCGCGTGGGAGACCCGGAAGAGGCTCCTGGCTTTGGATAGGCATAGTATCGGCCCGTTGCGCTCACTTGGGGAGTGAATCATCGGACGGAAGATCTTCCTCTCTGTCTCTCCTCTCTGTATATCCACCTTTCCAATGAAAAAATAATAAAAATAAATCTTTAAAATAAGAATCGTAAAATAAAACAAAGCTCCAAAACCAACGTCTGAAGAAGATACTCTTCACTCTATGAGCTCCTACAGGAGAAGGAACCTTCCCAACTCAAGCCCTCTCTAACCATCTATCTCTTTTGTGAATGAGGAGCCAGTGAACACTTGGCAAGGTCACCACACAACAGCACAGGTCCCCGCAGGACTGAGTCTTTACTGTAACATTACAGACTCTTCCCCTTTCCACACTCTTCCACCACATCAAGAGAACTGTATGGAGTACAGCAAGACACAAACTTCAACTAAAGAAGCGTTCTTTTAGCCATACAAAAGCAGAGGAAAAAACACAAACACATGAGGGAAATGTGATGCCTCTGGCACCTACAGCCACAACAAACAATATGAAACTTCAACTAAAGGTCCATCTGCATGATTAATGCACAATACATCGTTGCCCAACTTTCAAGAGAAAACTACAAAGCATTCCAAAAGGCAGTTTGAAGAGAAAAAGCAATTATTGGAGTCAGATTCACACAGGCCACAGATTTTACAATTATTAACCAGGAAAAATTTCAAAAACTGAATAATATGCAGATTATACCAATGGAAAAGGTTAGCATGTGTGAACAGATGGATGATGTAAACAAATAAATGGAAATTCTAAGAAATAATATAAAAGAATCATGAACATGAAAAACACTGTAACAGAAATGAAGAACACCACTTCTTAGAACATTATTAGAATATACACAGACTACAAAGTAGTCAGAGGACTTGAACACAGCTCAGTGTTAACTATTTATTGTCAAAAATACAAAAAAATGAATACAACAGATCACATCATCAA